ATGAATGAATGAATAAATGAATAGTTTAAGGTTTCAACATGTAACAGGGCTTTTACTAACCTTTTCAGGTCATCGATCGTGTCTTTAGTTGTTCTTGGCAGAGGATGGTTAATGGTAGTCAACGAAGAGTTTTCACCAGATATTGCTTTGATTAAACCGTTATGGACTGTTGCCAAGGTGATTGCAACAGCATGTAGGGGTTGATTGTTGAACCAAGCGGTGATTTCTGCAATCAATCAATCAATATTTTATTATTAAGGAACATAAAGCACGCACGCATGTCTCTGTACCGTGACATAAACACGCTGGGAGGTGTAGAGAACGAGAGAAGCAAGCTTAGGAACGCGAGACATAGCCAAGTGTTTCTCTAAACTTGCTTCTCGAGTGCTCTACAGCTCCGAGAGTGTTTATATCATAGTACAGGGACATAAGCAGCCGTTTTATGTTGCTTTTATAAATTACTTTTGAACGATTTTGCACGAGCGTGTCTCTATCCTCTGATATAAACACTGTAGCCAGCCAATCAGCACGCGCGTCAGATCTCTTTACTCTACTATCGATATCGATTCTTTTGTTTTACTTTGCCTGTTAGTCACTAATTATACAGCTTCGTTTCACGGGTCGAGTAAAATCACTCATAGTCAGGGGCGGATCCAGGATTTTTTCAAAGGGGAGGTTGTAGCATTGATTGAGGTACTTGTTTGGCGGGAAAGTAGCACAGGGTTCCCAAAAGGAAGTAGGTCTTATGATAATGATTATTTACTGCAGGCGAGCATGGTTGTTTCAGGTCCCACACATGGCGAAAAAAAAAAAAAAAAAAAAAAAAAAGCGAGCGAAATGTGTTCGGCACCCCTGTTTTAATAAAACTCGCGATGCTGTTGGTGTCGTCATGAAAAAATAAATAAATCACGATGACTCTCATAGGGGGGGCTGCAACCCCCAAAACCCACCCCTAGATCCGCCACTGCATAGTTAAACTGATCAAAGCTACTGCTGGTCAAACAAGACAAACTGGTCAAACAAGACAAACTGGTCTAACTGGTCAAACAAGATAAACTGGTCAAACTGGTTAAATAAGACAAACTGATCAAACGAGACAAACTGATCAAACTGGTTAAACGAGACAAACTGATCAAACTGGTTAAATGAGACAAACTGATCAAACTGGTCAAACAAGACAAACTGGTCAAAAAAGATAAACTTATCAAACTAGTCAATGAGCCATGATGGCGTCATTTTACTACCACTACCATAATGCTTTGCGAATTTTTTACGCATATATTGTATGCACTCTAACTGAACAATAGGAATTGTGCAAGGGAGTCTGGTAGTCGTAGGAATTGACGAATTTATGCAAGTGGCCTATTTGGTCAAATTAATCATTCTGCTAAAATCCATCCACTTCACCTGTTTCTTGTGTTTTATTGGTAAACGATGCAGCGACCAGGTACCGAAGGTTGAAGTCTCCCTGTCCAACATCATCTGGCTCTTTGAGTAAATAATGTGACATGTCACCGTTGACACGGATCGCCTTGGTATCTGTTCCTTTAAACTGATCTTTAAACTCTTTTGCAAGGATTTTCGTTCTGTGATTGATTATAAATAAATACGAAATATTTACATTAAAACCAATGAAGTTTGCATCTATTATTCTAATGATATGGGTGCCTCAATGTTGCAGCCATGTTCACATGATAAAATTTGTTGCGCGCAATGTTGCAAGAGTAAAGCGCGATTCAACTTCAGATTCGTTGCATGCAATGTTGCGTGCAATGTTGCATGCAATAAGTTTGAGGGGTAGACACACGCTGCAACAGTCCTGTTGCGTGCGAGATTTGGTGAGTGTGGTTGGAAAGCGCTGTCAAAACCCTGATGCACACTTCACGAGCAATGCAAATGCAAAGAAAAGAAATGGAAAATGTTTTATAGAATCGCAATTGTGTTTGCGTCCTTAATAGGGGTAAACGTGTATTTGCAAATGCAAATGCAACTTGATTTTGCTTGCGCTAGAATTTACGTTTCCATTTACGTTGCATATGAAAACGAGAATCGTATACGACTGACCTGTTATTGGGTACAAAGCTAAACGGTACAAAATTCTTCCCAAACGATGTGGTGTTCAGAGCTAGAGGCGGTGCATCCCCGGGCTGTGGAAAGGTCTTCGCACTTATCAGAGCAAACAGTGTGAAAATCAACGGTAGAAGGAGTTGAGGAATGATTGACAGGCGGTTTCGTTTGGAGTGGAGAAAACGCTTAATGAACATGGCGTACCAGCGTTGAAAGCCCAGTTGCATGTTGCAGTTGTGTTCTGCATTAACTTGGCATGACCCTTCACTGATCACACCCATTGTATTAGTATCATCAACCTCAATTCGAAAATCATTGTCATCATCATCATCTGCTAAGATAAAAAAAAAAACAGACTTGATGGTTTGCAAGCATTAACAAGAGAGTCAAGAAACAAAGACGGGAATCCTATGCTGGTGGTACAACCAACAGTCGCGACTATAGACAATCAAATAAATTGTTCGATACTTTTACATACTCTAAAAAAGCGTCCTTGTTTTCCTGAGGTTCTCTTTTCTTGAACGAATTGGAATTTAGGACGGAGTTGGTTTTGGAGGGAGGAAACCGGAGAAACCCGGAGAAAAACCCTCCAAGCAACCAACAAGCAATTCTACACACGTACGACACCTGGCCGGCAGAACTCGAATCCGGGTCGCATTGGTGAGAGGCGGCGCATTAGTGGCTCTCGCCACTCGTGTTTTCCGAAACTCTATATCAAGCTTTACTCAATAGGTTAGTGTCGATCGAAGTTGGAGTAGAGAAAGCTCACTCCATATATGGTATGATCAATTCCATATTTGGATTGTGCGGAAAAGCGGCAAACAAAAAGGCCGTCGTTTTATAACGAATTCGACATGAACATTTTTGAAGAAGAAAAGAAAAAAAAGACAAGCAAAAAAAGAAAAACTTTGGAAAATCGAGGAAGGATACGGGGACGATGCTAACTCGTGGATCTGCCTCGCAGACAACAGACACAGGGAAATACGACACTCAATGTTCGATATGTATTGGCGGTAGTGTATTGCCTAATTTCCATTTCGCCGAATGTCAGTGAGTGTTGTCTCGATCAGTATGTAGAAATGAAAATAGTGGCAACAATGGCTAAGGAGAATCTTTTATGAAATAGAATCATCATTTTAAGATGGACTTCTTAACCTTATGCGTGTTTTCTCATTTCAGACCTCGTGTCATTCTCTAGAATATAATTTCTTTGTTTAACGGTTGTGCACAAGAAGACACATGAATATGAATACAACCGAAACAAAGAAGCTTATTCTCACGAGAACGATACGTGGTCTGATGGGAAAACATTGCGCCCAAAATAAAGCTCTCGCTTCACAGGTGTCATTCCCTGGAGTGTCATTTCTTTGTTTAACGGTTGCGCACTTGAAGATACATTAATATGAATACAACTCAAACAAAGAATCTCATTCTTTATTCTCCAGAGAACGACTTGATATGAAATGGGAAAACATTACGCCCAAGGTAAAAAGGTCTAGAGGCACCAAAGAGGCTTACCTCCATTGTTTATGGTATCAGTTTCTTCATTTTGAAGGGCTTTCGTGAGAGAATCATCCATCTCTTCGCCGACTTTTAGAAACACTTCTTCCATGGTAGTGACAGAGACACCAAAACTATTGATGCCCAGTTCCTGTCGACGTGACTCCAATTCTGTGAAAAGCGGCTCAAAATTCCCTGTAGCTTCACTAGGAAGGATGAATGTCAGCTCCGCACCTGAAGAAAGCAGAACCGGAACCTTAAAATCGATTTTAAAAGAAGTACAGTCAACCAGTGCTCCTGTGGCACAGTCGGTTAGCGCGTCGTACTTATAAGCAGTGTTGACGTGCCCGAGGGTGCTTACACTATGAAATGCGAAGGTCGGGAGTTCGAGCCTCCCCAGGAGCACTAGAATTTTTGTAATTTCAAATTTTACTTCTTCGTATTGCGTAAATAATTTTCTTTTCCCTTTAAAAAACTCTTCACATTTAGAATAAGTTTTCTTGAATAACATTTTTGTTTACTTAGGCCCCGTCCACACCATGCCGGATAAATTTGAATCCTAATTTTTATTTATTCGGTTATGCCTACCGTCCACACTAGTCCGGGCGAATCCGGAACAATTCTTCACCGAAAACGATTTTTTTCGAATACAGTCTCCAGATTGGAACAATTTGAAAACGCCGGCTAGCCGTATTATTAGTGTGGACGGAGAACATTTCGTATCCGAAATTTTTCGAATGCGATGACGTCATGATTGTCATGGGAACATGGCGAGAAGGCAAAAAATTCACCGCGGGCTCGATTTCAGCTTCGATGCACATGCTCAGATGTGCAATGAAACGTTTTTGCCGCCTCTGATCGGACTAGTGTGGACGCGAAACTTTTTATCCGTTTTCATGTGTGGACGGAAAACTTTTTTTTCGGTTTCGGTTTGAAAGTTGCGGATTCAAATTTATCCGCCATAGTGTGGACGGGGCCTTAGTGCACATACATTATTAATGAATTGCAGGTCATTGAAAATGTTTGCGCAAAACATCCATTCTAGTAGAAATGGAATCCGCAGACAAATACAAACTTGGGTGAATTTAGTTTTTAGAATTTTAAAGTGACGTTGATGTCGATTATATAAACATTTATGGAATGTCTACCCTAAGAACAGAGTTTTCTTTTGCGTAAAAGTAGACTCTGCTCTCAAAAATGAAGTCGAAGAGAAGAAGAAAGGAGAGGAGAGGAAACGAAAGGAGAGAAGACGAGAGAAGACGACACGAGAATAGGCGAGAAAAATAACAGTTCAATAGTTCAAAGGTTTATAGTCATACACGCAAAGATAATCATTTTAATGTCATTGCACGACGACCTACCGATGTTACTCTCCAGCTGTGCAGTTGGCACATACTTCTGAACAATCGCATTAACAAGAGGCACATCACAAAGAGTTGCCTTGACGATAGCCATGTGATACCCTACCCCGTATTTGTTCTTCAGAAACAGAGAACTACCACAGCATTTGATTTGCCCTTCGGCCATGATGGCAATTCTGTYTCCAAGGAAGTCGGCTTCGTCCATGAAGTGCGTGGTCAGAAGGATCGTTCTGTCTTGTCGTTGCTGTTGGAGTAGGTCCCAGGTAAAGCGGCGAGCTGAGGGATCCATTCCTGATGTTGGTTCGTCGAGCATAACGACCTGGTGACAAAAATAAGATGCTTTATTTGACGTGTTGTTTTCATTGAAGAAGAAGTGACAGAGAAAGAAAGAATGGAAGGAAATGAAGAATGAATGGAAGTAAAAATAAATGAAATAATAATAATCAATAGACGAAAGAGTGAACAAATCAATAAAAGGAGCAAGCAAGCAAGCAAGCAAGCAAGCAAGCAAGCAAGCAAGCAAGCAAGCAAGCAAGCAAGCAAGCAAGCAAGCAAGCAAGCAAGCAA